CTCCTGGTTTTCAGTGTTTTGAGTGCCTTTGCTCTCTCTGCATCAAAATGGTCTATATGAACTTCTGAAGAGCTGTTTGGCATCCTAGACATAGATCATATTCAGTTACACTAGATTAACTACTTGATGTAAGAAAACAAAAAAAATACCCTTAAGTCAAATAGGCAAACCTACTTGGCTGTTCCATTGCATGACTAGCTAGTATGCTGTGCCTCTCATTACTTTACCTTTGGTGTTAGTCACTAGTAGATATCATTAGTTTTGTCAGTTTTTTAGGCATCATTTTAAGAGCATATTGTATGCTCCCTGTAAGATTTGTTTTTATTACCAATGGGGAATGTGATGAACACCTTCCTGAAATCTGGTGCAACAAATACTTTAAAAATATCTTGTTATTAGCAAAAGTGGAGGAGGTCAAACAAATTGTTGTATATGCAAACTGAGCACCATATCTGGTCATCATAGCACAAAAAATGCCAATGTAGACATCTGATAAGCAGGCCTCAATGGGACAGGAGAAAAGTTGCTAAAATATCAGAGTATTGGTTTTAGTCTCTTGTAATCAAACGCAAGTTCAATACAAAGATTGCAAAATAAAACAAATACTCCATGGGACTGAAATTTTATTATGTTAAATAAAGTTTATGCATTAGAGAAGCCAAACAGCTCAGAGCAAAGAAATCCTGCACTCTGTTCAAACTGGTTGCAAATACCTAGAATTCTGCAGAGAAACATATGAGGCAATGTACTCCCGATTAGGCTGATAGTCTAAAAGCTGCTGAAAAACAATGTATTTTCCCTTGGGAAGTAATGGAAATCTAATTAAATTCATAAAACTGACAGTATCTTGACTCCTTTTCTCAAGTATTTACTCTAACCTGGGATACCCGATATTCCTGGAAATGTAATTTCAATAACAATGCTGACAGCTGCAAGCAGGTAAATGTGGTCACAGGAGTGACATTGTGGAGTTCAGTTCCACATCTTGCAGCCCAGTCACTGGAGCTGCCCGCGCTGCCTTCTCTGTGCAGTGACCGTGGTGCTGGCACCGCGCGCGGGGCCGCGCCCGTCCTGCCGCTGCCACGGGCTCGTCTGCTGGGAGCCCCGTGTGCTCTCCTGAAGTACTCGTTCTAAGTAATGCCTACTGAACACGTGCCTAGTGTTAACATTACATTTAGTTGTAGTATGCTTGTCTCCCAGGGTTTACAATTGTAACTGATCAATGGAAATATTTCAGCTTCTCCTGCCAGCTTCAGCTGGGGTTTCACCTGGTGCTGATGCTGGACACTCTGCCCTTTGCCAGCCACCAGTAAGTCAACCCCAGTAATTCAGGCTCTACCTGAAGCACACGGGAGTTCTTGCCCAAGTACGATCTTCAAAATTGGGCGGACACTTTGTCTCTTTGGAGCACCCAGTTCGGTTCTCTTCCAGCGGCCCACCTCTTGATTCGCACTAGCCTTGCACTCCTTCAATAAATTTACCATGGATTTCATACTAAACGCTCGTGTCACTCCCTGCAGAAACACGCCTATTGAAAGGCTTGTTTTTGGCGGAACCTCCCGCTCCTTCAGCCCCGGGGCAGG